ATTAAAATACATTAAATAATACAATCAACAAACGTTTTAACCTGTCATCAAGTCAATTCTCAATGTTAATAACAGTACAAATTAAAGCTAGAAATTTAAACGAAAACTAATGGTGAATAAAAGGATCTGTACAATATTAGAACTCTTGTTGTTTGAACTCTCAAGAAGTAAAATGTTAAGTAACAATACCAAACGGAAATTCAAGTCCAGATCCTCAAATAATCGCAATTGACAGTCGTGAAGAAACCGACATGTTAAGTAACAATGTTACAATACCAAACAGAAATTCAAGTCCAGATCCTCAAATAATCGCAATTGACAGTCGTGAAGAAACCGACAAAACGTATGGTTCTCCCAGATTTGAAGCAGAGACAGAGAGTAAAAAATGTCATTGTGAAATGATTGTACGTTTTGTCTTTTTCTTCACGACGACTGTCCACTGCGATTATTCGAGGATCTGCATTTGAATTTCTGTTTGGTATTGTTACAACATTTTACATTTTTAAACAAGAGTTCTAATATTGTACAGATCCTTTATATTCAACGATTTCCGTTTAAATTTCTAGCTTTAATTTGTACTGTTATGAACATTGAGAATGACCTGATGCAAGTCAAAACGTTTGTTATTAATTGTATTATTTAATGTATCTTAACTAATCATTTATTCCACTCGGCACCAGGGATGCCAGGAAAACCTTTAACAGCCACTGGCTGCAAGTGGAGAGGATAGGCTGCAGCCGCCAGCAGCCAACTAGAGTCCTAGATTATCAGAGAAGCGCGACCGGTGTTACGAGTCCTGATTGGACACGTAAATGGCCAATCATAAGATTGATTTATCGCTATTATAAATGGCTGCCGAATAAATCAAACTTATGATTGGCCATTCGACGCCATTTTTAATATTTTCTAGTACTTTTGCGATACTGCCATAAGCCGGTCGCGCTTCTCTGATAATCTAGGACTCTACAGCCAACCACCTAAGCCATCGCGACATTCGCGACTGCCAGCCTACTCCCTCCACTTGCAGCCAGTGGCTGTTAAAGGTTTTCCTGGCATCCCTGCTCGGCACCCGGCTCAAGAAGCCAGGTGGTTTTTTCACCCAACTAAGATGGGCAGAGTGACAATGTGAACGCTTCACCTAAAAATCCGGCAGGGGCACCCAAAGAGAATCTGAACGCTTTCTAGGTGTCTGAGTGCACCCGGGTGTAGAATCTGAAC